AAGGCGAACTGATTGGCGGTAAACCACCAGACTTGTGGCGTATTGGCTCTACGCAGGAACTGTTGAGCCACAGAGGCCTCGGGGCACGCTCGCAACGTGAGAGTTGCGGATTGTATCGGCACGTTGCTAGGCGACAACTCTGTGAACGCTTGGATGGCACAATAGGAAGTGCGAGTGACGTCATATACCCCCACTCATCCCGTTGCTGCGCGACGCTCGGTAAACACGCCTGACAACAATACCTAATATCTGTTACCAAGCAGCAATTTGTTTTCTATGTAGTCCGTGCCAAGCATATATAAGGAGCAGCAAACATTATTCAGCCAGTGAGTGGAGCCAGCCAGTATGTTCGTGTGGAGGTGGGGTCCAATACCTCCACCGTGACCCTGCGAGTCGTAAGAGGCGACGAAAAGGGAAGTCTCAAATCTGAGACAGTAAAATATGGTCTCGAGTCCCAAGGGACTCAGACCCGAGAAAGACTGCACTGGCAAGGGCCAGGAGCATATACGAAAGGCAGACCCGTCCTCTCGTCAGAGAGGGCGTCCCACAAAAACAAGACCGTAAATGCCAAACAGTAATAAATATCTGGTCATGAGCCCCAGATGGAGCTCAGCACCAATACTGACTGATTGACTGACTGACCGACCGACCGTCATTCGCAGTGTGACTTGGACTTGGATTCAGCCAGAATTCAGTATCGAGTAAGAGCAGTTACGAGTAGTATTGAGGATTGAGTACGAGTATTTGGAGTATTCGGCAGAGCAGAAGTCAGTCAGTTGCGGGAAGAAGAAGAACCGAACGCGTGACCTGTGAAGATTTGAAGTGTGACTTTATGTGTGCGACGGTACAGTGGAATACAAGGTGTATGTAAATCAGCGATAGCGCTGTGTATCTTGAGTGTAATTCAGAGAGTGGGTGTAACCAAGCTGTCAATAATCAATCATCCGAACTAGAACCCGTCATTTCGTCACGCGTACCCCCTACACGTGACAGTAGCTCTGACTCTGACTGTAAAATGTGTCGATCCGTGAAACTGTTACAAAACTCTGTGGCCTTTAGTCCGCAAGCGAACTATAGCGACCGCCGCTTGTCGGCGAAGTTAGTGCCAACTTTTGTGGATAGGTGTCGCGTGGACAGCGCAACGGATTCCCATGGCTGTAAATCTCGGTTTTCTAGACCGGAGCCGCTACTTTTCCATTCAAGTAGCTCCTCAGTTATCGTCACGAGGCTGAGTGGACCCCGTTCCATACCCACTACTTCTCGAAACTGTTACAAGTACCCAGTAAATCAAGTTAGCAATCCAAACCCCGGGTGTCGTCACTACACGTGCCAGTATGAGGATGTGAACTGGATTGTAATAGCTGAGGGTTTCTTTGGCAGATTATATGAATACGGCCGTACTTTACTAAATTAATAACCTCTGACTACCCAAAGAAAACCTTGTACCATACAGTCAGTTTAGTCAAACAGCTTCCCATAGCTGTGTTTCGAAGAGTTATATCTTCTGGGATATTATGCTGTGTAGTCCGTTGAAAATCAACTGACGTTTCGGAGGTTGACTATCAATTCCGGAGGGACTGAGGAAAATCACAGGATAAACCGGTCTCTGGGTCTTGATCTCGAAATTTCAACACGAAATGAAATGCTATGAGACTAACAGTTTCTTTATCAGAGCTTCTTTCGACTTTTGAAGAAAGATTTTCCTCTATGGATTTCTTTTCTTAGTGCCCTGTTGGTGAAACACAGAAAACGGAGTTGTTTGTTATTCTGGTGGCTCTCTTCTAAAGCTGTAAAACATGCATGTCTGTTCTTGAGCTAGTAATATTGACCTCCACTAGCGTGTAATAGAAGTTCGGTGGTGGGGGTGGACAGCTCAGTCTGCGTACATACAAATTCTTGTGTTGCTTTGTACAGGTAGGATCCAATATTGATCTACATTTCTATAAAAACTGCTCAGGATCACGTCAATGTCACCATAAACCTTCATGGAAATAAACGAGTAGAGATAAGACGGCCATACTAAAATGCGTGTATTGTGATAGAAGAATACCTAAATGGTTAGTAGCACGTAACTCCAAATGGCTGACGGCTGAATTGACTGACATCAATTAGACATACCATATTCAGACAAATCGTACTTCAGAAATTCTGTATCCGGTGTTTTTCGGTATACATGATTGAAATCGCGGTATAGCATGGTGCATGCCGGGTTTAAAAAAAATGTAAGTAACATTGTATCTCAATTAATAAGCCACTGGAAATTCTTTTATAATTTATCGAGATGAGAATGGAGGTTACATGTAAATGTGACATATTGTGACGTGTACACCCATTCCTAGGCAACGGCTCGGTAAACACATTCCAAAGAAAAAAGGGCGCAACAGTATGGCGTCCTTTGCTAGGTAACTGATAAGTAAACACGCCTCCTTAACAGTAGAGGCTGTTTTCTGCGTTGTCCGTGCAAAGTGGTTATAAAGAAGTGTTCAGTAGTTGAGAGAACAGCATAGAGTCGAGTTAGTTGTCAGAAGGTGAGATAGTTCAGTTGAAGAAGAGTTCATATGAGGGAGTTGCTGTCAAGAATGGGTCGAGCTGTGGTGATGACAGTCTAAGATGATTGAGAAGAAAGGGCAAGAAAATACAGATTAGACTGTAACAAGAAGACTTCATGTGTGCATTGAAGTGACAGTGAGACTATTATGAACCCGTTGCCAGGATACGACTAGTGAAAACTGAGAACCCTAGTGCCTGTGGAATGGTGAACTGTAAAGTGTGTAGACCAGCGATAGCGCTGTATTAGCTATAGTCCTGAGTTGTGAATATTACGCGCAATAAATCCAATCTAAACCCCGTCTTATAAGTAACGCAACAACCCTAACACTTGACAATATTCAATGCAGAAGATATTAGTAGGTCCCGACTTTTTTAGTGCTAGAAAAGATATGTATTGTCACGTGATATATGACGTCAATTGCTGCGCAACGGCTTCAACATGAACGCATACTTCAGCGACAACGAATACATAGAAATTGTTGAGTTCCACGGCTACGAATTGAATGCCAACAGACCGTTGCGTAGGAATATCCGTGGCAACGGATTGTTCGTTGCGTTAACAACGGATGTAACCAAACACTTCTACGAGGAAGTCTCAAATCGGAGGCAGTAAAATATTGTCGCGAGTTCCAAGGGACTCAGACCCGAGAAAGACTGTACTGGCAGACCCGTCCTCTCGTCAGAGAGGGCGCCCCACAAAAACAGGACCGTAAGTGCCAAACAGTAATAAATATCTGGGGCTCGACACCAAGACTTACTGACTGACTGACCGACCGTCCGTCAGTCGCAATGTGACTTTGACTGAGAAGTTTACAGGTTACAGTATGTATATTTACACATGTGTATGCTGGTTTATTTTATTCGAGTAACTAGATGTACCTGTTACATAATGAAGAAGCGTGTAACAAGAAGATTTGACGGATTTAAATTCCCGCCTGAAGTGTCTGTGGCAACATTACAATAAAGATTTTATTTTTAAATTTTCAACGTAAAAATATTTTGCCTCTTCTAACGTCAGCAATTGACTTGCGACTCTGTAATGAAAAGTGGTTTGTTAGTCAGTTTTTTTAAAAATACCCACTCTCTAAACATTAAATCTTAATTAAATCTCATATTGATAACAAATATTAAAGATCAATCGCCATTAGAAGTATGTACCGTATAGGTTGTTTAACGATGTTGTATGAACTGCAGGCATAATTTACCATGGAATTGGATTGGAGGATGATTCTGGAGTTGCCTGGAATTAAGTTTGGAGGAAAATATTGTTGCATATTTTAAGATATTGTACTATGTAGTCCCGTTGCTAGGTAACAGCTCTTACACACGCAATAGGAGATTACGTCCGCGGTGACGTCACGCAACAATAGAAGGCGTGTTGCAGTCAGCGTTCTTTGGGGGTCCGTTCCGAGGCTGTATGACGACAGACCGTGTTCTGTTCAGCGAATGAGTGCAGTCCAGTTGAATACAGTGGAGTGAAGTGAGTTGGTTGGTGAGCAGTCAGTCAGTCTGAGGACTGCTGCAGTTTAGTCGTTGTGAGGTGTTGCTGTTAGAAGCTGGTAGCTGAGGCACGGGGATAGTTAGGAACCCAGAGTAAGGTGAATGTGCTCCATTGAAAGCCGTTACCGACCAACGACTGGTGAAGGTACAGCAAATTGAGAAGACGTATTACGTGCTGTATTGAACTGCGGAATGTATGAATTAGCGATAGCATTTACGTAATTACTTGTAATTACGATCTGTAAGCCTTCAGTGAATCCAATTACCAATCCAAACCCCGTCTGTAGTCACTCCCTCACGTGACATTATCGCTGCTGTCAGCTTGAGTCTGTATGTAAAGTCACGAGAAATATCAGTGTATCGGCTGACCCAACACCCACATACCGTTTACTGTTTAGACTTTACATTTCTGATAGATATTGAAAATGGACTTTGTGTTCATTCGTATATTAAAATTTTGCGATGAAATTAGTCTTTTGCATGGCAGAGAGCGATAACCTTAATTATCGATAGAGATAGAGAGACAGAGGTAGAGAGAGATGGAATAATGGGCTTCTAGTAGCGGACACACAGACACAAAGTGTACACGTATATGTAGAGCACCAGAAATCGAAGTCCACCTTTCTGTCGTGATTCCCCTCATGTTCATGCTAGCTGCAGGGTACACTGACTTTGTATTGTACTGTACTTATTACGTCACTGTTTTAATTATCAGTAAGTCGTAAAATGGACGTTGCATTACAGCTGAAAGTAGTTACTCAGTGAAGTTCATAATGGCATATAAATAAGCGAGTCATTTTCTTACAGTAGTCTTTATGTAGTTTTATTCTTAAGGTTATGGTATGGTAATTGTAATTGCATTGAGAATTCCTATCCAGTTATGTAAGGTCAGCTGACCCAGAGAAGGCTGCAGATAATTGCGACTCTCATGATTGTGTTTCATTTTTCAGGTTACAGCTCAAGAGCATCATTGGTAATTCCATCCTTAAGAGAGAAATTAATTGTCGTCTTAATGAGTAAAGATGTCGGCAAAGGACGAGCTGTTGACGCATCTGAGCCGGCCCGGCTCTGAGGCAATGTCTAACCACCATCAAAGACCCACAGAGAAAATTAATAGTTGTATAACACTCCAGCTGAAGGCGGAAGGGCCTACCATAGATAACTGTGGCTGTTTGATTGAAGAATTAATCGAAATCCAGCCTAAAGAAGCACTACTTTACAATGGAACTGTAGATAATTGCAGCTTGGATAGTATCCTTAGGACAACGGAAGGTGTGAACTTGAACGGCACAGAGTCAAGTTGTCGGAACGGACATGAAGTGATCTGCCTTAGAGATTCAGATACTAGCGTGACATCCCTAGATTCTTCTTATAGCACGTCATATGACACACATTTACACAGCGAATCGCTTGATTTGCACAGTTCAGACATTTCATCAAATAAACTTGAAGCGCTGAGTCTGCAAAACACACTCCAGGCTTTGAATGGAATTGACCAGCCTTCTCCTTCCACAGCATCATCAGATACAGTGACACCAATTGGTCTGGCACCTACAGACTCGAAGCAGACGTCCCAGCCTGTTTCAAGTGTTCCCACCCATACCAGAAATTTGTCACAAACGACAAACCAGTTGACAAACCTAACAGATAATTTTGGAGACACCAGTCTTGTGAGAAACTTGTTGGAAGGGTCAGACGTGAAGAAATTGCCAGATTCTTATCCTGTGAATAAATCTGGAACTGTATATTCGAAGAATATGCCAGACATGTCTCAGATCAACTCATCAAACGAGGATGAATTATTAATTTCAGAAGACGTGACAAGTTCGACTGGACATGATACAGCGCCAGATGATCCAGATGTGAAAAAGGAAACTGCCTTTGAGTGTTCACCCAATCAATCCCAGTGCTCAGGAATAGTTTCATACCTCGCCAGTATGGAGCCTGACAACCAATCACCACATCTGACACACTCCGTCTATCCTGGCTGGAAACTGGATCGACGTGAATCAGGCCACCTCTACTGGCGAAGAGATTCTTCAACGTTGAACGGCGTTGATCCCAGCAGTCGTGTAAAATTTCGTTACCACATTGAAGTACGCGAGTTCGAATCTCGAAGTAGTGAAGCTGAAGATTTATCCGAAGGAGATGACGATGATATGTACGATGATAATGATGACGACAGCGAATTTGAGGTTCAAGAGACAGGCGGATACAGTATTTCTGACTCTCTGACTTTTGATGAGCCCTCATCTCTAGGGTCAGCAGCTGTTATAGGTGGTGTTGCAATTCTTGCAATGATTGTGATGGCTTCCTACCGCTGGCTGTTGGATTCGCTGCAAGTAATTTGATTCCTTGACACCAGAATATGTAAGACAGTGATTGCAAGAAATTGTATTATAATTGTTGTCAATGTTGAAGTCACATTCCTTATTCTGTATTTATTATCAGACTAATATAAGTTGGTACACGCAAAGTGAAATGGTGTATAATCTTCTGTTATCTTCAGGCTGCTTTACAAACATCACTGGATGTATTATGCTTGTGACAGCTGTTTGATATTACCATAAAGGTAAAGTTGTCCCTGTGCTTAACTAAGCACTACGCCATGAAGGCGTATGGGAAGTGGATGTATAGATCCGCATTTTCTTTACCTCGGTACTAGTTGGAGGTGAGTGATCAGCTTCTCGCTCCGGCCGCTTTACCCCCGGTACCCAATGTATAGGAGGTTGGGTGGACTCCAGAGCCGGTCTGGACATGGAAAAGTGAAAATTCTAGATCCTACCGGGACTCGAACTCCAACCTCTCGGTCGTCCAGCTCTTAGCCAGTCGCTATACCAACTGCGCTACCCCGGCTCCTTTGATATTACCATACCTTCGTTGAAACTCATCTGTTCTTCCTAATCCTTAACTCCATTAAGCAGACTTTCTTGAGAATCTCTAGTCGTCTCTCGGCTATTGAAGAATGTGTCTGCATCTTATGGAACACGTATGTTCAGGTTCATTGTTATATTGATAATGTTTAGTGAGGTATGGATTTTGTAATTCTGTGGAAAGTATGAAGAATGCCGTTTACTGGGATGTAGCGCCGTGTAAATATTGTATAAACCGACGTTTCGGAGGAACGTATCGCCTCCATCTTCAGGGTATAAAAATCTGCCAGCGAGGAACCAACGTGAGCAGACTGCAGCCACCTGCTCACGCTGGTTCCTCGCCCGCGGAATTTTATACCCTGAAGATGGAGGCGATACGTTCCTCCGAAACGTCGGTTTGCACAATATCTACACTGCTCTACATCCCAGAAGACGACATTCTTCATAGTCACCGCCGTGAAAACCTCAGATCTTAGTATGGGAAGTAGACTCCTTTGCTGGAAGCTGACAAGAAAATTCACTGCCTTTTTTGGAATTAGAAAGTTCAGGCTCTAGTCCAGCCGTGTCAAACATGCGGCCCCCATAGCCACATAGTGCGGCCCCTCAACTTTTAGAGCTAATTGATATTAAAATGTTAGTAGAAATATTTTTTGTAAAGACAATTTTCCAACAGACCAGAAGACAAGAAGTTTCACGCAGACATAAATCAGCAGGCTGCAGGAAATTCAATGTTTTGCTATTTCTAATATAATTTCTTGTCTAATCTCTCTTTTTACATATTGAAAAGCTGTTTGATACTTGTCAAAAATGGCATTCTCTTGCTTTTTAAAACTGTAAGATATGTGACTTTAGGTAATTATATTGAAATTATTCCTAAATAATAAATAGAATTAAATTTCCTTGTATCAAAATCTAATCTATATTTCCATTTTGAAGTGCGGCCATGGACTATTATTTATAGAGCTGAGGTGGCCCTCTGTACAAGTTGATTTTGAGATGCCGGTTCTATTCTAACCTAAGACAGGTGCGTTCACTTGATACCAATACATTATATTTGAGCTTAAGTTTTGGTATATTAACTTATTAGATCTTCAGAGCTTAATGGTTGATACATATACCACGTAAGTTTTATTCATAAACTCCACATTTTGCTCACAGATTGTGTGTTGATTCTCGAAATAAATTATAATTATTTCGCTAAAGAGGATTCAGTGATTTGACTTCATATTCCCTCTGAACGAGTAACTGATTTGTTAAGAATTACTGAGGTCAGAGCTGTCTAAATTCAGTTGGTCCAGGGCCACATATAAAGAACATATTTTCCCGAATTTACTGATACAGATAACGCCCCTGCAGTGATCAGAGCCATGAAACATAAGCACACGAATATATATATGGACTCGAGGTTCATAAACTTTTAATAAAATTTAATCTGTTTTAATGTTTTATGCAAAAATTAGTCCTTTCCATGAAGTTTTTTTTGCAAGAATGCATTAGCACATATGCTGGGAAATGTGATACACTTGCAGGCCACTAACTAACTTCATGGAGCCGAGTCCCTAAGCCACCAATCTCTCAGCCACCCAAGAATTTCCCAACATTTTATGAAACCTCACACGAGCACTCCACTGATCCCTATTCTGAACCACACCAATCCAGACCATACCACACCATCTTGTCTCTCTAAGATCCATCTTACTATTATCCTTCAACCTACATCAAGGCCCTCCTAGGCGACATTTTAGTTCTTTCTCACCAAAACCCTATACTAATTCCGCTCTTCTCCTATGAGTGCTACACGTCCTACCCATCTCATTCTCCTTCACTTTATCACTCTAATTATATTTGGATACGACACCAAATGGCGAACCGTATCCGGCCCGCGAGCCGCGAATTGTACAGCTTTATTTAGATGGACTTCAGGTGTCAAAGGGTTAAAATTCAAGTCGGGTGCCTACCGCCGAGTCTCTAAAAAGAAACTGATTCTTCTGCTTGCAAACTGTGCACGTTCGTATTGTGTGCTGCTTCACAGCTCCGGCCGAGTTGCCAAGCTGACCAGTTGCGAAGGTAAGTGTTGGTAACGGCGCGTCCCCTGGCATTCATGTTATCATGCTGCACTGCAATTTCGTATTCCAGTCATTAACTTTTTATGTAACTGACAGACAGACAGACAGACAGACTTACTTGAATTTATTTGGAACGTAGTCCGAAATGTTAACATGTCTGCCACCCGTAACGCTTCATTAATCTTGTTATTTATGTGCCTTAGGTTTCACTGTTCAGATGCTTCAGTATGTCCTTGCTGTCTTTCCACTAATTCCCCACTTGTTTCCCCATCTGTCTATCCATCTATCTATTATATATGTAAAATATCTATGCATGCATCCATCCGTCCATCCATCCATCCGTCCGTCCGTATGTTAAGCTATGGCTCTGTGGACGTTGGCCGCTTTTCAGTTTCTTGGTCTACACACAGTCGGTAGGACTCCTTGGAAGGGGGATCAGCCCATCGCAAGGCCGCTACCTACACATAGAACAACACAAACAGAATAATTGCGCATAGACATCCATGGCTCCAGTGGGATTCAAACCCAGGGTCCCAGTGCTCGAACGGCGAAGACTTTTCATGCCTTACACCACGTGGCCACTGTGATAGGCACTTGTTTCCCCATTAGTCAGTAAGTGTAGGCAGTAATTGTCATCGTGTTGTCCTTAAGGTATCATGACCGTGTGATTTTCAAAACAAGTATGTTCAACGAAACTATGACTTCATAACGTGACAGTGAGATGTAGGACCTATATAAAATCTCAGTTTATGGCATTCAAGGATCTAAGGGCATTGACTATGAAGGGTAACACCGTGTAGTCATCTACCCTGAAGATGGAGGTAGCATGTTCCTCTGAAACGTCCATAAACGTCCCCATACAACATGGTGTCACATCCCAGTATCGTTCTGTTGCCCTCTTTTTATCGGTAAAAAGAAAAAGGTAAAGCTATCCCTGTAACAGGCCGTGAAGGCCCATAGGGCTGTGAGACGTCGAGGCTCCCACATTTTCTAGATAATCGGCTCACAGATGGCGGTAAGGTTGTCAGCCTTACGCGCCGGCCGCCCTTTAACCCCCAGGAAGATCACTGGTACTCATTTCTGTTAGAGGCTGAGTCGACCCCAGGGCCATAGTGCGGCTAGGGACCCGAACCCGCGACCTTCCGACTTGTAGCCTAGTTCCACAACCAGCTACGCTACCGCCGGTAGTATGGATATAACCGCGAAAGGTATTTGCAGAGTTAATTGCTAAATGTGCGTTCATATACCTTCTTTTCCCCAGATACAAACCAAAAATTAATATATTGTGGATAGACCCTGCCTCTCCTTCCGACTTCAATTACAGAAGGATTTCGATGAACTTCAACAATGGAAGCCTAAACTAGAAGATTTTTGGAACGAGTTTGATTTTGGTTGATGTCGAACAAATTTCATACGTACTTTGCAGTTCAGTTATTTCACAGATAACTCAGTCGGTATAGAAACGGACTGCGGGATGAACGGCCGGGTTTCTATTCCCGGCAGGGTCACAGTGTCCAGACCGGCTCTGAGGCTCGCCCAGCTTCCCATCGAATGGGCGCGGGTAAAGCGGCCCGGAGCGTGAAGCTGACCACTCGCTTACATCTATTGCCAAGGTAAAGAATAATGCAGCTATACCTCCACGCCCCCATTTGCCATAGCCTGATGCTTAATTAATTAAGAAGCGGAAGAAGTTTAGCTTTACCTTTGCAATGAATTTGGGTCTAAGTTTGCGTGCTTAGTTTAGCACTACGCCATGAAGATTAATAGCGGAGTGGAGATATAGTTCCACCATCATTGATCTCGGCACTAGACGGAGGTGAATGGTTATCTTCACGTCCCAGCCGCTTTATCCCTGAGGAAAGAGCCCCCGTTATTCATTTGATAAGAGGCTGGGTGGGCCCCAGAGTCTGGATGTTGTGCTTACCTTCAGTGCTTCAAAATATGAGAGCAATAATTTAAGACGTTTTCATATTTCAGATTTCACCATAATGTTAGGCAGTAAGGTCGATAATTGTCGCAGAAATTTCACGGACGCACAAGAAGCCCACCCAAGCCTCCACACGGTCTGCCGTAGAACAGGGCGTCACAAGCCCGTGTTTCTCACAGGTAGTCAGTGGCGGGTCCATCACATCATGGTCCGTAGTATTATAGAGGCCTTACAGTGTTACGTGACACGTAATAAATAAAATAATTTAGATTTTAAAATTGCGAAAAAAAAAGTATTTTTTTACAAATTTACTTTAAATTGGTGGATAGAAAAAGGGGGTTTGTAGCAACTCTGTATTTTTTCTCCTATTCCAAGAAAAATGCATTACTGCATGCTCTTTATGGCCAAGGGGAATGTTACGGTAGCTGAGTGGTCCGTGCGTGCGCCGGAACTTTAAGAAACACCGCTCTATCGGCAAAAATTTAGACTCTTATTCAGTATGGTCTCAAAAGCTGCCCACTTTTAACTCTTCAGGTTGTTTCCATGTGTAACATTAATTGGGTATTCCAGTATATAAATGGGATCTTGTAAGATATATTTTTACTCGTTT